AAATCAGAAATGATAGGCATATAAAGGGAGTTAAGGGATGTGACCATGAGGTAAACACCGACCTAGGTTCGCCGCGTGACTCTCGGCTTGGTTTGATATATTCAACTAAAGCTTTGGATATACGACTATCATCGGATTAGTAAAGCGTGTATATCTGAATCAAAAACAACTTGTAGAATCTTGGCAAAGATAAGTGTCCTCAGACGACTATATTCGGTTACCATATCTAGGAACTCGAGGCCAGATTGAATAGCCTGAAGAGGTTGCCTTGAAGGAACGCCGCATCGCCTTTTGCTCTTTAATAGCATGAGATAGGTTGCCCTGTTCCCCGAGTCTTTAAGCTATAGCGAGAAGAATTGAAGTGAGATGAGGCATCGCACCATGGATGAAGTAGTTGGCGTTGAAGGAGTAAAGAGAAGTTGCAAAGATCGTTCCAGCGTTCACGTGTTTTTCTCGTTGTGTGCGACAACGGCTGTATTATCACCGGTCATGCTTGTTCCAGGCAAGCGTTTGTCTTGCTCATAACAGTATCGATCAACAGCAATGTTTGTGACCGTCTTATAAGTTATGAGAAGATATCGGATCTTATGACGCCGATCTAGGGATGAACATCGCCAAGCTATCCCGGTTGTCTTCGTTCAAATGCACGTGCTCGCAAACCGGAAACCCACGATAAAATGAATGAAATCGATTGATTGCGCCTCACCCTCCGTATCAGGCAACGGACGTGCAAAGAAGGTAGAAATTACTGTTGCGAGATCCGAATTAGATATGTGCCGACACGTATGAAAAGTTTTCTGATCGAGCGGCCTTCTGTGTATAACCGGACCAACACAATTTTAGAAACCAATAGCATTTCTTGGAAGAACCAAGCATGCCATTACTGATATGAGTTTCTATCCTGCTAGGATGTTGCTCCCTTCCTGTCGCATTGCTCCTAGACAAGCACATGAACGAAGGCACTGAAGACAAGGGATCATCTCTGACAGGAGAATCTCCTTGCCTTGCATGTCCTTTTTACAGAAACGATGCGATACGCCATACCGATTGTTTCAGTCTTAGAATGGTACGAATTCGAGATGTCAAACAACATCTCAGAAGACGACACTCAGAGCCGTCACACTATTGCCCCACATGTTACCAGAAGTTCAAAACGGAGATGGATAAGTCTCGTCACATTTCGGATAAGTCAGCTGGAAGATGCTTTCCGACGGACGGAGGTCTCGATTTTGTATCATTGCACGCTCAAGGACTTCTCAAATCCAAAGCGAGCGGAAAGGCTACGGCATCGGAACAGTGGTATACCGTTTGGGACACAATCTTCAAGCCAAAGCCAAGACCAAATCGTCCTTACATGGGGACATTTGCAGAAGAAGCCATCTCTTTACTACGGATTCTCTGGCGGCATGAAGGAGACCAAATCGTTTCGCGATCCTTAGCAACAAGACAGCTGTCCACTAGGAGTGTTATCTATTTCAAGGACATCGTTCATTCCGTTATGGAAAAATCATTTGATATGTTTGGGATGAGACTCAAATTATTGCAGTCCATCGGGGTTCCGGCTTCTCCCTCAAGGCAGGAAAAGCCTTGTGACGCTCACCAACAACACGATGCTTCGAATGATAGAGATGAGCAAAGCTTCGTCACCACCACGGTCCCTTTGGATCAAGGTGGATTTGAGTCCGTCGTTGACGATTGCCTCCACGAGATAGAAGGAAACATAAGTTGGGACTGGATCTCCGAGCATCATGTCGCGGAGCTCCATTTCACGCCTGATCATGGCGCCTTTACAAAGCGATGTTGAGATGATAAGTGGCATTACTCGGAGCAAGGGATTCTTCAAGTCTGACTTCCCTGGCCAGAAGAGCTGAGACGGACTCATCTGTGGACTTGATAGTAAGTGGCGCCAAGACAGCGAATACTCGCTACGTCCTAATCCATCTCCGCAGAATTTGTTTTCACAGACGGCCTTCAGAACATGAATTACAAAAGGGCACTGTACATACGTCTCGAAGACTTTTAGAACACGGAGGCTTTCAAAACTTGGAGTCTTGCACATGCCCTATAATCTCAATCTCTCACAGCGCCAAGAGGACAAGCTGCTTTATCACCTGACAGGTTAGGCCTGATTGAGATGATGAGTGGAATCATAGCCCTTCAACTGGGACATCTCAGAGGAGCCGGGCTTCGGACTTCAAGTCAGGTGTCATTCTCTCTTTGTATGGCAGTCTAATGTATGCAAGTAATCACGAGGAGGAACTGGCTCACACAATGTACAGTGGTCGTTTCCCAAACTTGTACCAGCAGTGAATTTCGATGGCTGACTGGCGAAAATCAGCACGAGATGTGGGAAGAGGGATTATTGTAGCACGACACACATACGAGGCCTGGCCAATCTATACAGTTCAGGCAATAGTTGGCATGAGTCTAAAGTTCGTGTTCCATGTGTAGGGTGGGGGCTGAAATCTCGGGGACTACGGCTTGTTCATTAGATCATGCAGACAACGTTGATGGGCTTGACTTTACATGGCTCGCATGCCCGCTTCATTGAACATACACAAGATGATACCCCATAGAGACAGCGATGAGATTGAAGGATGGCCGACATATTCGATCGCTTCTTTTCTGTGTACAGATTTGTTTGCCTGGTTGAAGCTGTGCGAAGCCAACATGAACCTACCGATCCTCACTCCCCGTTGCCTCAAAGCCCCGTCCTGATTATGGGTGTCGTCACTCGTACCCAACTTGTCATGTCCTCAACCAACGGGGCCAGTTTTTCTTTTCTCCAATAACGGACTCTCATCTGCGAAACACTAAGATCTAGTCCCTTGGCTCTGAATCGGGGACTGTCTGAGTTTACATTTACTGTTTTCCTTTCTTGATATAGTTGAGTTATCAATGATCGGTGTTATCTTAGAGCTTATCAACAATCTTTGTACTGCCATCCTCAAAGCATTTGGTCCGCGGCTTAGGGTTGATATCGTGAGAACCTTCGAAATGGCAGTATTCATGAGTGCAGTCCTTGAGTCATCTACAGTGATGGCCAAATATACAATTTCCGTCGACGCAATCGGAACCCGCATTGCAGGGGATACCGCGGGACTGCGTCCGTTGTGAGCCGATTGTCAAGAACCAAGTCATTGTGAAACTGCATATTGAGCAACAGCGCACCTTTTTCTTCAAAGTATCATCTCGCTAGCACTGAGCTTGTTGCCGTGGATATAATTACAGCCTGGGTAATTACACTTGCCATGCAGGTGGTGATTGTTGCAAAACTTCCTGCCCAGGCCCACTATGCGCATATTGAACCCATACTCTACCGCAGGGTCGACCTTTGGTGGCGGCTCGTCGATGCGCTGGCCGTCGGCGTTCATCAGGTAGTGTTTCGGCAGCGTCGTCTTCTTTTTAGAAAAGACGTCAATGGGCTTGGGCGCCGTCGAGACACGCGTGAGTGGAGGCACAGTAGACATAGGCGTCTGAGAGCCGCTGGAAGGCGGACTACTGACGCGAGTCGGTACGGCCGTCGCCGATTGTAGAAGAGCGCTACTGCTGGTAGATACGACGTGAGAAGGACCAGGCGACGGGATAGCGCTGGGGGGGATCGCGGTTGTTGGCGTAGATAGAGGGAGAGGTGTGCTCGTTGTGGTCGGTCGCTGGACCCTGTCGAGGAGCTTTTCGGACATGAAGACAGATTT